CAGGCAGGCGCTTTTGCCGCTGAGCTAAATCCCCAGCCCTCACTATGTAGTTTAGGCTGGCCTTGGACTCACTGTGTAGCCCAGGCTGGCCTCCAACTCACAGTGATCCTCCTGCCTCAGCTTCCTGAGTGCTGGGATTACAGACATGCACCAGCAGGCCAGGCTCTTATCATCTATTTCTAAATCAGTATCAACAGTCTATTTATTAATCACATGAAAATAAAAGAGCAGCTTTATAAATTTTCTAGAAAAAGCATTTTGCTTATGGATTTAAGCTTGACAGGCATACTAAGGACAGAAAGTTTAGTACTTTTAGTTGCTTGGTAAAAACTGTGTACAGATAAGAACACTGTATTCTCCCAGTCAAACTCTGTAGCTAAGGGTATCCCAGAACCGCTGCAGGCATGAAAGCAGCCTTGGAACTCGAATGGAAGGCGCTCACTCCCCCGAGCTCCACGGCTGTGCCGGCAGGGGCAGGACTCGCAAGTGCTGGGGCCTCGGCAAGTGCTTTTCAGGTGCAACAAAAGTTGTTTTATTGGTGAGGGATTAAAATATCCTTTGACAAAAATGTACGTAATATGCCATAACTCAAACCATGAAGGAAAACTTGGTTAGTCATAGTCCCCAAAGTTATGTTCTGAACCTAAAATGAGGCTAGACATACCAACAATGGAACAGTGAGTATCACTTTTTCTCATGTCATTTGGGATCAAAGTGAGATGCTATCCATCTTATGCAGAGATGACTAATTTTGTGGGAAATTAAATAGATACTTAATTTTAGACATAAACTACTGAAAGGGCATGCGCCACCTATTAAACTGGCACCCCGGCAATGTGCTGTAAGATCTCTCAGGGGAAGGAAGGTACAGAGGCAGGACACTGATTTTACAAAGTCAGACCACTTAAAAGGTTTGGTCCTAAAGCAAATAGGAAGCAGAGGGTTTCAAGTAAGAAAATAAAATTCAATGCCAAACCCAGTTTAAGGTAGAGATCTAAAAAAATAAGAAAGCTAGACTCTAATTCTGAGACTGGAAAAGATCTGAGGAGTAAACAAACACAGGCAAAAGAGATACTTATCCCGGTTGGGCCAGGCTTAGTCATGCAAATGGATAAAGGTGGACAGTACCTATCCGGATGACATGCGCAACTATATATAAATCCCTCTTCATGTCTTTGCTGCTCAGATCCTAAGAAAAGAAAAGAAAAAGTCAATTCAGACAAAGAATACATAGAAAATAATTCCGTTTTGAACTTCCCAGTGGTTTTCTTGTTACACTTGGGAGGGAAATTAGAGTACCCAACACCTTTTAATGTTTATAGCATTCATTTAGTGAAAGTCTAGATACTACAGGCCTTTAGAAGTTTATTTTATTGACAGTATTTTTCCAGCTCTTATTTTGACCAAATCCAAATATCTATAAAAGTCTTCATATTGGAACTCTTTATATTATGTTAACCCATGTTTATTCTTTCACCATGTGAAACATTTTATAACAAAATAAATATTCACTTCAGAAAGAAAAGACAAAACATCAAAAGTTCTTTAGACAGAAACACTAAAAGTTTTTGCTCCACTAATTTTCATTTATTTTGCTATACAGAAATGATTATTACACACTAGGTATGTTCCCTTCATAAGAGGTTAATTTGGTCTTGATAATTATATCTACATTTTTAAATTTAGGCATTTATCATTTATACTAAATTATAAAGTTCTAAATGACTTTATTGGAAACATTTATGGGTTTTATTTAAATAAAATCTGATACAGAATTAGCTAAATTTTAAACCAAAGAGTTACAAAAATCATTCTTATATATAAGTATTGATGTTTCAAATACCTTCTAAAATAAAATGTTTGGCTGGGTGTGGCAGAGCATGCCTGTAATCTCAGCTACTCAGTAGGCTAAGGCAGAAGGACTGCGAGTTTGAGGACAGCCTGGGTAATACAGTGAGATTCTGTCTCTAAAATAAAATGTTTGTTTACTTATATTTTACTTCGTGTATTACAACTGAAGTAATACGACTTTCTTTAATATGTATTGTTTCAGACTGTCTTACCAGGTTACTAACTCGCTGCTCACCCCCAGCCATTACTATAATCTAGTGACTATTGATGGGGTAACCTTTGTCCTTAATGGAGCAGGCGCCTCGATTTCCCTCTTGCTTCTAGGAAAGGGTTCTAGGACAGGGCCCTTTAGTTCCATTTCTTTCCATCTTTCACCTTTCGGTTGACCCTAGATGCTTATCTCTCTTCAATAAAGCAGGAAAAGGGAGCAATCATGATTTGGAATGAAATTAGAGATTTTGAGTCACCATATTTCTTAATTTTATATACATTTCGAGGATTAGAACTAATGTGATGAGGCAAGTAAGGTGACTAAGGTGCAAAATGCAAGGAAGCACGCTCAGGATTCCTCCTTTGCTTGCTTTACCTTATTCCAGTCTTGCCCTGTTAAGTGACCCTGAACACATAAAAGAAAAAAAAAGGCATTAAAAAGTAATGTATAATGGTAAAACTAAAGCTTTTAGATTCTACAGTTATAATGGTTTCTCACATTCTTACAAAAATAAAATATGCTTACAATGAAATCAGTTACAAAAACATAACTGGTAGCTCTAGAATCACAGAGATATATTTTTACGTGAAAGTAGTCTTCATATGTAGGAAAAGTAGATGTTTTGGGCTCTGTTTCACTAATTACTTTTCTAAAATTGGAATCTAAAATTATACTCTCAAGCTAGTACTCCTTTTATCTTTATTAACATGGTTACTAAATAATAATAAATAGAAATTAAAAAACAAGTTACTATTTTATGCATTTTTAGATTTAAAATATATCTATTATTGAGGTATGTAGAAAGACTTGAAACATTTCAAAATGAAACAGTTCTTTCTACATAGATTGTATCAATCCAAACCATCAGATGACTAAAAAAATTATCAACTTCAACAGAACTAGACAATTCATATGGAGATTTTTAAAAATTTATTTTAAAAATAAAAGAAGGAAAACATATTAACAAACAGACATCCATTTACAAAATAGCATAAGAACAATACAAACCATACAGAGTTACAGACAAAGGGGTAGGAAATTAACAATGGTTGCGCTATTACATATTGATATCTTCAAAGTGGTTTCTCAGGAAAACAGAGACATGCAAAATTGATCAAATAAGTAATCATTGACTGTTCCTTTCAGTAAAGTGATAGAAGTCAGTAGTACAACTATGTTAGCTATCCTGTATAAACATACGTACATAACTTCCCCTTCTGTCTTTTCTCTTTTCCCTCAGCCTAGTTGCTCTTTACTTTTGAGCAGTTTCCTTCCGTTTCACAGTGTCTATCATACCTCTTAATTTTTATTCACTCTTTCAGGTTCTTACACTAGTGAGATAATATGTTGCTTACATATGGAGGTCTGGTTTATTTCACTTATGAGTATGGTTTCTAGTTGTGACCATTTATCTATAAAAGCCTCGAGTTTATCTTTCTTTATGGCTGAGTAATATTCCATTATATAAAAGTACCACAATTTTTTTTTATCCAATCCCCAGTGGATGGACATTTGGGTTGCTTCCACAATATAGCAACTACAAATTCTGCTGCTATGCACATGGGTTCACATATGTCACTGTGATTTGATGTTTTCAGATCTTCTGGGAAAATACCCAGCAGGGGGATAGCTGGGTTGAATGGGACCTCTAGACCTAGTTTTCTGAGGAATCTCCAAACTGATTTCCACAGTGGTTTCACCAGTCTGCATTCCCACCAGCAGTGGAGAAGGGTTCCTATTTCTCCACAGCCTCGCCAGCATTTGTTATTGGTTGTTTTCTTAACGCTAGCCATTCTTACCGGGGTGAGATGAAATCTCAGTGTTGTTTTAATTTGCATTTCTTAAATGACTAATGATGTTGAACATTGTCTCATGTATTTATTTGCCTTTTTTATTTCTTTGTCTGAGAGGTGTGTATTCATCTCAGATGCCCATTTTTGGATTGGGTCTTTGAATTGGGGGGGCTGATGTCTTTTAATTCTTTATATGTTCTAGATAGAAGACCTTTGTCTTCTATCGAGGAACAGTCAGCTAAAATTTTTCCCGATTTGTGGGTTTTCTTTTTACTCTGCCGGTGATTTCTTTAGATGTGCAGAAACTGTTCAGTAGGATGAGATCCCAGTTGTTGATTCTTTGAAGTGTTTCACGTGTAGTTTGGTTTTTGTTCATGAACTCTCTGCCTACCCCTATGTCTTCAAGGTTTTTACCTACTTTCTCTTCCAATACATTTAGTGTTTCTGTTTTAATATTGAGATCTGTGAACCATTTTGAGTTGAGTTTGGTGCATGGTGATAGACTTGGGTCTATTTTCAGTCTTTGGCAGGTGGCAAGCTAATTTTTCCAGCACCATTTATTAAAAAGGCTATCTTTCTTCCAGTGATTTTGTTTGGCCCCTTTATCGAAGATTAGGTGTCTGAGTGTGTTTGTGGTTGTGGTTGTTTCTTCCAGTCTGTTCCATTGATCCTCCTGTCTTTTTTTAGCCAGTACTAGGTTAATTTTATTACAGTAGCTTTGTAGTATAATTTCAGGTGAGGGGTTGTGATTCCACCTGACTTGTCCTTGTTGCCCAGGATTGCTTTTGCTATTCTGGTTCTCTTCTGGTTCCAGATGAATTTAAGGAATGTTTTCTCAAGATCTGTGAGGTATGCTAATGGTAGTTTAATGGGAATTGCATTGAATCTGTACAGCAATTTTGGTAGTATGGCCATTTTCACAATAGACTTAGACAGTTCAAACCAGTTACTAAAGGTTACCAAACATTAATCTGGTAGAGTGCACACAAGAACACTGGACTTTTCCCTTGACTCTGGCTGAGTGAACAAAAAGATGAAGCCTTAAGTATAATTTATTCTACTTTCGAAGTGGCTGGGTAGGGATTCGTGGCTATCTTATCTTTATCTTGTGTGTGGTGCTCAGAATTCTCAATGGCATTTACTTGAGATCAGTAAAAATAAAACCACAATAATTAGTGCAAGAAAGAACTGTAAGTAAAATTACTTGTGGGTTCCACATAATTTTAAGTAAATCTATCTTATTAAATGTAAGTGTAAGATTAAACAGAGATATCAAAGTGTTCTCAAACATATACTTTTCAAGACTAAGCACTAAGTATGGCTATTCATATTATAACACTAGAATCTGTAACCAAGGTGGGAAGAGGGAGGTGCGCTCACCATTCATCTAGAGAGCAGAGTTTGAATTCTAACTGCATGGTATCGTTAAGTTTGCTCACTGGCCCAGTACTTCCAATGGTGCCTACCAAGGAGGCAGAGGACCAGCTACACAGTGTGAAGAGAGGTGAGTGAGGACAGTGACTCAGGGCATCCATCTCACTCACTGACACTCAATCTGACACGTGGAAAAGCTCATACACTTTCCTATTCCTGGGCTATTTTTCCCCATAGAGGTAATGGGATTTACAAATATAAAGCCAATTTACTCATACTTAAGCTGCAGAAAGGAGAAATATTTTAATACGTGGTATCATTACAGGAAGAAGTTAGGGTCTGGACACTAAGAAATTACTACCTAAAATACTTTTGGAATGTGGAAGGGTATAATATCTATATCATAATTCAGGGAAAACAGTACAAGTTCATTCTCTGAGTTGGTCACTCAAACATAATAGCAACTAGATAATATTTACTTTTTTATGTAACAAATCATTAGTGAAACCTTAATATTGTCAAACACTATGTGTAATGACTAAATATACACTAGATACAACTGCACTCATACACACAAGCATTGTTCATCACAAAAGTTAGCAAAATCTTCACTATACTCAACATTCACTGTTGTGAGTTTGGTAAAAGAAAGAAAAAAATCTTCAGTAAAGCTGTGTATTACAAAGATAGAGCTAAACAGATCTGCATTGCTAAGGAGGAGCAAAAAAATAAAAAAAGATGGCCAGAGGACATCACAAGGAGCAAGTCTCCACCCTTTGCCACCTCAAACCTTCAAAGATAGAAGACTTTGTTTTGGAAAAAAAAAAAAAAAAAAAAAAGCTACAGAGCACCAGTTTCCAAAATGGCGGCAGTATAAAAAATTTGTTCTTCAAAATCAGGTTCCGAGTGTCCAGCCATCCAGGCACTAGAGAGAAAAAAGCTTGGCTATTGCTCCAGCTGGCAGCAGACCTTGGCATCATCCATGTGACACTGGTTTTAAGTACCTAAAAAATGCAAGAGTTCTGAGGTTAAGACTTCCACCTAAATTTTAAAAGGCCTGGGAGGCCAGGCAGTGTGCCCCTGAGAGGGCAGTGTGTAAAGCAAAAGGTACACTAGATCCTCAAAAGTTTAAAAAAACCAAAAATGTAGATTATCTAAAAAAAGCTACAAAAGGAGAGCAAAGCAGGCCCAAATAAAAAGCCATAAAAGCTACAGCCACCAAAAGTACCATAGAGGTAGAGCCACATAGAGCTCACAATTTACCACACATTGCTTCAAATGTTTCACATAAAACTACAAGACTTATGTTTGCCCTGCTAGATGTTAGACTTGCTTTGGTCCCAATGCTTTATATCCCCCTGTTTTACCTTTTAAAATGGTAATGTTTATCTTGTGCCATTAAACGTTGAAAGTGTTTAACTTTGTTTTCTTTTGTAGAGGGGCTCACAGCTAAGAGTTTCCCTTACTTCTTAAAAGAGATTTAAGACTTAGACTTTTCAGAAATGCTAAAACTTGCTGAGACTCTGGCAACTCTTACACATAGACTAAATGCCTTTTAGATAAAGAGATGTGCATGAGTCTTTGTGGAGTGGGGGGATATATAGAGTTCTAGTGTCTTTCTATCTAAAATCTGGTTTAAAAAATGTCTTTGGTTGCCAAGTTGGCAAGGGGTGGATTGTTACAGCTGATACATGGTGTCAACCTGGGGAGTCTGGAGGCCTGGCTAAGTAAGTGACTCAGCAGTTCTGCATCCTGGGGTGAGAAGGACACGCCCTGCCTGCTCTGGGGTGCTGTTCACTGAGTCAGTGTGAGAAGTTTAGAAGGTTAACTGTGTGACTGCGCAAGGGGCCAGGTCCTCACTTTGTATCCATCCTAAGCCTGTGCAGCAGGAGGGCATGGAGATTATGTGAGTGCTACACGCCCTCTGGGTGGGGGTAGCCTGCTTACAATATAAGGTAGGAAAGAGGCTTGTCCTCCCCCGCTTTTTGTTCTTGCTGTTTTTGTTGTCTTCCCCCGCCATGAACTGTTGCCCTCTGCCATGTGCCACCTTGCCTTAGAGCCAGCCAAATATAGACTAAAACCTCCACAGACTGCAAGCTAAATAAACCTTTCTGTCCTTAAGTTTGGTCTTTGGGTGTTTTGTCTCAGCAACAAGAAAAAAAGTAACCAAGACACCACCAAATTACTATTTCAGGTCCTGGCTAAGGTAGTCCTGCTCAGAAATCTTACGTGTATTGTAAGAGTTCCTCAAATCATGTTTGGGGCCTTTCCTAGAAATTTAGGGCTGTACTACAAAGGGAAGTGTGGTAGTAGTATATTTAGTGGCCTTGTACCTTCTCAATGGGGAGAACAGGAGATCATGAGTGTAATGTGCATCTTTGAGTTATAAAGTTGGAGCTATATAGTTTTGGCCTCTGGGCTTCTATGGATAAGTAAAATGCTACATAATGGGGCTGGGGATTTAGCTCAGCAGCAAAAGCGCCTGCCTGGCAAGCGCAAGGTTGTGAGTTTGTTTCCCAGTACCGGAGAAAAACCAAAAAAAATAAAAAATAAAAAAATAAAATGCTACATAAAATGTGTGACTTACTGTAATTACATTTAAATATCATAATTATGTTCATCTTTCCAGATACAAGTGTTGCATTAATTATACTTAGGAATTTAAACAGCACATGAACACAGCTCTGTCCCCATGCATCAACAATTCCCCTTGCTGTGTTACCACAAAATACTCAAGAAACAGGACCCAGTGACACTTCCTAAGTTTACTGAGACATTCTCCACAAGCACACGTCTCATTTCTCTACAGCTTGTTTCAGCAACAATGTCTTGGTGGTTTCCTCAGTGGCCATGCACCTCCACTTCAGAAGCTCTCACTCAATTGGTAACCTAAATTCCACACACTACACTCTGGATTCTTTCCTTCACTCTCTTCCCAGGGAATAGAGAGCATCAGTGTTCCCAGATTAAGCCAGCTTAACTCCCTTCACCATCTTCACAAGTCTGCTTTTAGGGCGGGGGATATAGCTCAGTGGAACAAGCGCCTGCCTGGCATGCGCAAGGTCCTGAGTTGGATCCCTGGTACAAAAAAAAAGCCTGCTTTTCCTGCTCTTTCTTCTTGCATTATCTCCTAAGCCTTGAATGCTAAGCTCAAAAATGGACAAAACATTATTTCAGCTGAGCCAGATTTATAAATTTTTCTGTATATCTGAAACATTTTGAATAAAAGCTACTCTCGTGAAAGTAATTTTTGATTGTACAACATCATTTGACAATTTAAAAGATTAAGTTGCAGTAAATGAGTTAAACTTAGGTGACAAATACAATTTTAGGTTTCAAAGAACGTGACAGATAAATACTATTTACATTTAAAAGGCACAATGCAGACTTCAAGCTCTCTATCTCCTATTAATCATATACCATAAACAAGGTCAGTGACAATGTGAGACTATTGCATCTTGAGCTCAGGGAATTTTGATGTATCTCATTATCACTGAAACAGATAAAAGAATCCACAGTATTCAGGTTTTTTTTTGTTTGTTTTGTTTTTAGTAAAAAAACTAATCAGAATTTAGGTGGAGACTACATGGCAATGCGGTATTGTGAGGTTTTGCACTTTTCAATAAGCAGATTACCGAGCCTTCTCTGAGTGATGGCCCTTGATTGCAGAGAGAATGAACAACAGCATGGGTAACCAGGAAAAAACTAAAGCACAGATCACAGTAGAAAAAAGCCCTTCCATCTGGTATTTGGAAGAGGACTACTTAGTTTGTCTCTCTTTATATGAACTTACTACCAGACTGCTAAGCTACAGATTTGGCAGACGCCTTTAAGAGAAACTATAATTACACATCAGAGAAATTTCCAGTGGCCTTGGCTAAGAATAGTAAGACAGACTTTTGTGTAAGTCTAATTTTAGCAATAAGTCAGATTTTGTGTGAAATGGCTTAGGTACTTCATAATTCTGTAAAAAAAAAAATTCAATTATATTCATAGCTAATTTCAGTTCCCTATAAATATTTCATTAAAATCTGATAGAAACATAAATCAAGTCCTATTCTCCCCAGTGTTTGTGTGTGTGTGTGTGTGTGAGAATAGGGGGGATAAGAATAAATACTCGTTTCCAGGGTGATAATATCTACACAGTAGGCCCCTGGGTAGAGTCAACAGCAAAAAAGGGAACAAAAATTTGCACATACTGTAAAAAGGGCACACATTCGTTCTATCTTCTCTGGATTCCTGGGCCCACCATTCTTGTTCAATCGCACCAGAAACCGCTCACTGCAATGTAGGAAAGAGAGAGAAAGAGAAAGTTCAGGAACTATACATTCTAAAACAAATAAAAAGGGAATATACAGAAAATTCCAAACACATAACAGCTTATAATGATAGGTAAGGTCCAAAACATATGTCCTCTGGCAGGATATCCTGTTTTTTATGCCAAGTGACACACTATGGACACTCCAAACTGCGACAGGTGTTGCTGCTTATTTGCCAGCTGTGGCTGTGTGTCTTTCCTCTCCAAAGTTGTGTGTTCCCTAGGGCAGCGGTGAGGACTGTATCTTATGTTTCTCCCAAGTTCCCACAAAGCACTTGAGATGATGCTACATCCATTGACAAGCATGTACACTCTTTGATATGAGCACTCCGATCATCATAAAAATATTCACTGTACTAAAGCTGAAAGAATCTATATCACCTAATTTACATTTACTTTATGTAACACTGGAGAATCACTTTAGGGCTAAGAGAAAACATTATAGGGACTTACAAAGACTTGAGTGAAATTTTTAAAAAATGATCTATCGTATCTAAAACTGCAAAGTGAATTTGACAGTCACTAAATATTTTATTTCACAAATAATATAAGCAATTCTTTAATGAAATTATTGAAGGATTAAGAAATCCTTAAAAAAACAGTGTTCATACCATTTGGAGAAATATTTCCTTGATCTCTCATCTCCTTCCTGTCCCTACCCAAAATCTCATTCCCATCTCTTCATCCTAAGGCTCCTTATAACTGCTACAAGAAAACTGAATCCTGGGTGAAGACAAACTATGTGATTCCAAAAGAAGCTTACTTCCCTGCATCCTCAGTCATAGGCACTGAATACATGTGATATCACTAAAAGACTGGTATTAAAATACTGTACTAGGATGATAATACCTACTGCACAGCTTGATTACTTTCTTCATGCATTCATTTGTTCATTTAGTTGATAAATAGGTGTTAAATTCTATATGCTAAACATGGAAATACAAACATGAATAAAATATAAACAAGATACTTTTTCTTTGTAGGGCTTATTAAGTCCTGACAGGCAGTGAGACACGTAGATATGAATCTCAAACTATGAGCGCCATATAAATTTGAGATTCTTCATCTAGGGGAGAAGATGGGAATAAGCAAGGAATGTGTTCAGAAAAAGAATAAAAGAGCATGGTCAGATTCCTGAGGACACTGACATGTAAGAAATGTGCAAAAGAACCAGCAAAGCAGACAACTAGGAATAAAAAGGAAAACAAAAGGAAAATAATTGCTGCTTTAGTCAAGAAAAGCTGGATGTCAAAGAGGTGGCAGTGGTCAGTAAAGTCCAAAGCCACTGAGAGTCACATCAGATAAAGACAAAGTTGTGTCCACTAGATGTTAGAACAGTGATCACTGATGATTCTAGCAAGATCTATTTTAATGAAATGAGAGAAAGACATCAGTGGGAGAAGTACAAAATGAGGAAGCAGAGTAAGTCTATATCACAGCTTAAAGAACAGCCGTGAAAAGGGGGAAGTGTTGTGTTTTTAATTAACAGGCATATGGAGTTGAGGAAGGTTCTTGTTAAATACAGGATAACCTACATGTACATAGTCAACTGAAGATCAGTAAAGGTACCAAGGTAATTCAATAAAAGCAACAATATTTCAACAAATAATGCTGAACAACCCATACCAAAAAACAAAAACAAAAACAAAAAAAAAATTAACCTTGAACTTTATGAACAAAATTAACTTGAATGGATCAGGGACTTAAATATAAAAGCTAAAACTATAAAACAATAAGAAATGATAGGAAAAATGAAGTACCTTGGCTATAGCATTCACTTCTGTATTTACATTTTTAGCATAGAGTAGAAAACTCTGTCTTTGTGACCTGGGATTACTAAGCAAATGAGTCACAAAAAAATAGCATTGATCTTTATCAGGATTGAAATCTTCTCCACTTTGAAAGGTACTGCTAGGAAAATGAAATGACTGGGGTGAAATATTTAGAAAACATTCATCTAAGAAAAAATGTATCTATTGAGAATATATAAATAATTCAATTCAATAATATAGAACAATTTAATTAAAATGGAAAAAAGATTTGAATAGACTATTCACCAAAGAACTTCAGGGATAGAAAATCAGCATAAGAAGACATCATTAAGTCATGAGAGAAATGAAAATAAAAAATACAGGGAGATATCATTACATACCAACTAGAAGGACTAGAATTAAAGACTGAATATACCAAGGGCTGGTGAGAATGTAAAGCAAGTAGAATACTCTTATACTTTTTGTGGGAATGCAAAATGGTATAGCTACTTTGGAAAATAGTGTGACAGTTTCTTATTAAACATATACTTCATAAATGACCCAGTAACTTTACTCCTAGGTATTTAATCAGGAGAAATGAAAACATATGTCCACATAAAGATCTGTATGTGAATGTTTATAGCAGCTTTATTCATAATAGCTCAAACTATAAACAACCCAGATGTCCATCAAAGGATAAATGAATAGCCCATATAATTAAAAACCATTTCATAATAAAAAAACAATTGAGATACGTAACATGAATTAACCTCAAAAGCACTGTTCTAAATGAAAGAAGCTAGCCACAAAAAAACTTATGCTATATGCCTTCCTTTATATTACATTCTGGAAACGGCAAAACTGTAGGACTGGAGATCAGATCAGGAGTTGCCCAAGTTAAGGAAGGAGGATGGGAAACTTTTTTGGGCGAATAAAATGTTGTATTTCTTAACTATGACTGTTGTCTCACAACCATAGAGGTTTGTCAAAACTCAATGAATTGTGCAAGGCGTTTTACTCTATGTATAAATTACATTCAATAGATCTGACTTCAGAAAAGATGCAATACATACAAAAACATTTATATGTGGTCACACAAATTTGTACATACAGGTTCACAACAGCATTATTAGTAGCTATTAGGTGACAACAACGAAAATATCTGTCAATGAGTGGATAAGTAAATAAAATGTGGTGGGTATATTCATACAATAAAATAGTATTGTCATAAAAGGAGTGAAATACCGATATTTGCTACAATACTGATGAGTCTTGAAAAATTGTGCTATGTGAGAAAAGCTAGTTACAAAGGCCACATAGTGCATGATTCAATTTTTATGAAACATCCACAATAGCAAATCTATGGAGACTGAAAGCAGCTAAGTGGATACCTAGGGCTGGAGGCTTGAAGGAAATGGTGTCACTGTTGAAGACTATGGGATTCTCCTTTCAGGGTGGTGAAAGTGTTCTAAAATCAATTAATATCCAGTATTGGTTGCATGACTACACTAAAATATACCAAACTGTATCCTTTGAATGGGTGAATGCTATGCTATGTGAACTATATATCTCATAAAGCTGTTATAACAATCAACAATAAACCTTCCCCATGCCTTCCTCTCATTCTGTAATCATATGTAAACTTCCCTCCAAGGTGCACGGCCTTGTATGAACACGCGGCTTATTTCTGTAGCCCCATCTCCTCTCACACAACCCCTTTTTGCTTACTCTCCACATGCACACTGGTTTCCTACATACCAGAATCTTGAACATGCCAAGCTTGTTCTTGTATTAGGAGTTCTGTATGTGCTGTTATCTCTTTTTAAAAAATTAGTACCTGTATAAAAGACTCAGAATACTAAAGCAATCCTGGGTGACAAGAGCAAAGCAGGAGGCATCACAGTATGTACCTGACTTCAAGTTATACTACAAAGCAACCATGATAAAAATGTTGGGTCAGGGATATAGCTCAGCAGCACAGTGCCTGCCTGGCAAGCACTAGGTTCTGAGTTTGATTCCTGGTACCAAAAATATATATATATATATATATATATAGTATTGGTACAGAACAGACATGTTGTTCAACAGAACAGAACAGAGGATATATGAACATTCCCAGACTCATTCAGCTATTTGATCTTGACAAAGGGGCCAAAATATATGCTGGAGGAAAGATATCTTGTTTAACAAATGGTGCTGAGAAGACTGGCTATTTATTATTGCTCTCTGAAATGCTGCTCTTTCAGTTCAAGTGGTTGGCTCATGCTGACCTTCAGGTCCTAGCTCAAATGCCAGTTTCCCAGAAAGGCCCCTCTTACTTGGAAGGAATACATACAATCGCCCTTACTATCACACTACCAGTCTCTGTGACTCTCTTCACAGCCGTCGTCTACCAAGAAAGCTGCCATTTGTAGCTACCCACAGAGAGGGTACTGTTTGGAAGGGTTCTACGAAGCTCCAGTACAGAATAAGGAGACCTAGCTGAACAGGGTTGCTGACTGCATCAGGACCTGGGAATGTCTCTCTTAACAGTGAAAGGAAGCTATGCAAGTTAGTTCTCATAGTGCCACTGGAGTCTCATACTTCTTAGAGACGTTCATGATTCTGGTTTCACCTGATATGCTTGACAATCTGTGAAACTCAAAATAACTTTGTTTTTCATTTCAGAAGGCTTTAGACATACATCTAATTATATACTGTTTTGCAAGGTTCTCTAATTGGTATGAAAAATAAATACTGCTTTCTGTTAATGTTTAAATTATTTGAAGACAAATATCTATCCAATGTTTCCATGATTTGGCAACAGTTTATCTGCAAAAGAAGTTGTGAAATACTGTTGGAAAATATTGTAGCGAACACAGGTTTCTACCCTGTAGGACTTTTCAGAGACCTAACATGTTACTTGTCTCAAGTGCACTGGTGATATCTGACTCCACAACTCACTTCTGTGTACAGCGACAGAGTCCAGAGGCTTACAGAGTGATAACTCCTGACTGAGTCTACTCGTCAAGTAGTGCTACGGCAACTACTCATACTCCCCAAAGCTGTAAAGGGAACTATAAACAAAAGTTAAATTTACTTCAGAGATTTTACACCCATACCTCCATATGAGAGCAACAGGTCTTTCTCTTAAGTAAGATGGGTGAGAAATCCTCTTCCTAACTCACTATTTGTTCTCTTTCAAGAGAAAAACAGATAATTGATGCTTTCTC